GTTGGGCCTGTGGAAACGCGGTCACTCCGAAATGGAGCCGAACCGAATCGGGTTGTTGAAGTAGAGCCAGTGGAAAAGAGGCACAACTGTCCCCGTCCCTTCCCCTTCCTGCTTGCTGCAGCCGCTCCAGCAAGGTGTACTTGCTGGATTTGGCCCTATGTTTTTTTTTTTTTTGTGGGTGGGTTTTTTTGTACCTCCAGGCTTGCCGTCCTACGTCACTGTATGTTGACGTGTTTCTTTGAAGCAGAGCTACTCTTCAGTTAGCAAAGTCGTGTGGACAAGTGAGGTGAAGTGAAGCGCTGACAGCGGATTGTCCTCGTGCCTTGTTGGCGGAATAATGGCCGCTGACTGGGAGGAGATTCGCCGCCTGGCCGCGGACTTTCAGCGGGCTCAGTTTGCGGACACAGTACAGAGGTGAGACCGTTAGCTCGAATGCTAACATAAGCTAACTCAGCTGGTTAAGGCAGCTCACTGTAGTTTGTTCAAGTTTTAAATGTGAAGAAAACCTTGGCGGTGTTAGTTTCTAAAGTCTCTACTGTCTCTCAACCGTTTCCAGGTTGTCGGAGAGGAACTGCATAGAAATCATTACAAAGCTGGTTCAGGACAGAAAGTTGGATGTGGTGCACACCCTGGATGGGAAGGAGTACATCACTCCTACTCAGATCAGCAGGGAAATCCGGGACGAGCTATATGTCCATGGAGGTCGGTACAACATAAAAATATATCAGCCTGTTGGAACTGCAGATGGTTATATTTCAGTGTTTCCTGCAGGAAGAATCAACATTGTGGATCTGCAGCAGGTTTGTTCCCATTCAGTGACCTTCCATCTCCATCTTCTGAAGTTGCTGTTGAGATGTCCTTTAAATGATACTTCCTTTAGATCATCAACGTGGACTGGGTCCATGTAGAAAACAGAGCCAACGACATTGCCAAGTCAGATAAAGGGGTCCAGCTGGTCCTGGGACAGCTCATTGATGAGTAAGTACAAGCAGAAGATGACTCCATCCAATCAGCTTTCTGTTAGAAGATAATTAGTTTATTTAATCAATTAACCAAAATTAATATGGGAAAGTCCCAATTGTTTGACTTTTTCTAAAGGTTTTATTGGCTCTAGAGGCCTTGATTTGAAAGTGGTTAGGCAGTCAGCAGCATGATTGCAGCGTTTGGATTTCAGGATACAGAATATGAGAGAGGGAGAAGACATGGGCAAGGGTCATAAGGCCGGGACTCGAACCTATGACTGCCACATCAAAGACTAAGAACTTTATATATGGGTTAGGGTTTATCCTTGCGCCACCACAGCATCCCCCTTATTTGACATTTTAAATTACTTTTTAAGATGCATAAATGGATTTTATATCTCTAGATTTGAGCATACAATATGTTGAAGGTAAAATTCTGAATATTAAACGAGTCGCATGTTTCCTTTCATTTCCAATAAAAATGTATGAAAAGTCTCATCTAATCCTGTTCTTACTCCCCTGGTGGGACACCTGGCGGACCTCCTAACTGAATAAGGAGGAGGATAATAAACCTGAGAGGCAGAGGCTGCATGCATTGAGCTGTTTTCTGTATCCTGTGCTGTGCTGTGCTGTGCAGCGCCTACCTGAACCATCTGGCTGAGGAGGTGAACGACAAACTGCAGGAGGCTGGTTTGGTCAGCATGGCAGAGCTGTGTAAAAGCTACGACCTCCCAGGAGACTTCCTAACTGAGGTGAGTCATCTCATGATGATCTACACCTTGCCCCAGGCTCAGACATTAAGCCACAGTGGAGTTATTGCTGAGTCAAGCATTTGAGGGTAAAAAGCCCCATCAGGATTGTTTTTTCTCATTTCAGGAAGTGTTGAAACGCCTGGGAAAACTCATCGAGGGAGAGATGGACCAGTACAACAGAGGAGTGATCTTCACCAGAGCTTTTGTTGCACGTCACAAAGCCAGAATCAGAGGCCTGTTCAGTGGAATTACAAGGTACAACTAAAAACTCCCATCACATGTTCCCTGTGCAGAACAGAGGCGAGTTGTTGCCACAGAAACGGTGTGTGCACATCACCATTCTCACCAAACATTCTTAGAACTTTGTTTGGATATCAGTCTGGTTATGTTGTGCTCTGCAGACCAATACCCGTCAGCAGCATGATTGCAGCATTTGGATTTCAGGAACACCTCCTGTACAGTAAGGAGACTTTACATGATTGTTTCATATCATTTAAGGGGCCAGTATTATGTATAATTTACTTTTTTGAGCTTTCCATCTTCTTGTATTGAAGTGTTGCTTTGATTCTTTCATGCATGTTTGAAAAATAATTTAATCTCCTGTGGCAACTATTCAGCTGTCCAAAACCCTGGGTGGCCTTAGCCCCGCCTGCTCCGAGCAGGTTCCAAGCTTCCGAGCTTCTACCACACAGCCCAGAGGAGCAGCCCTCCTCTGGGACTTCCCCACTCAGCTCCTCCAGACTAGTCAGCAGGAATTACCAAACACCTGGTGAAACTGCGCATCTGCTGAGTGCAATGTTAAATTACTAAGTCAAATTTCTTTGGTTGTGCTTAAAAGAAATGATAGCATTTCTATAACAAATGAAGGTAATACAATTACTTGATAGAACTACAAAATGGCAGTATGTGCCAGGAAAATACATAATACTCCCCCATTAAGTGAGTGTTTTGTTTTAGTGAATCTTGATTCATGCATTTTTGTCTCAGCCGTTTTGGAGGAACTGGTGAACAGCGGACGTCTGAAGGGAAGCGTAGTGGGAGGACGACAGGACAAGGCTGTATACATCCCTGACATCTACGCCAGAACGCAGAACGCCTGGGTGGACTCCTTCCTCCAACAAAACGGATACCTAGGTCTTTGCTTTTGTTACT